GAGAGAGAGAGAGAGAGAGAGAGAGAGAGAGAGAGAGAGAGAGAGATCCTTGATCACAGTCCAGAGATTTGGGCGTCAGATGAAGCTCCCGCTGCATATTTCGGCACACCTGCGCCCACATATGTGGTTACTCCTCTAAGGTTTGACTGTCATGCATTACTATTTTACTCTAACAGTGTTTTAAAAGAAGTTTGCCTCCCTCTCACCAAAATAACAAATAACAAATAAAAAACATATGCTTCAGGTCCCCATGAGCAAAGATAGTTTCCCTGACGCGTGTGAGTGGTGTTGGACCTCCACAGGAAGACGTGGAAAGATCTTATACAGTCTGCAGTTTTCTGGAAAGGAAACATGCAGGATTCCAGGGAGATTCAGGCACTACTGCCAGACACCAATTTGCATAATAACTGGGGTTCCAGTGGAGAGTATCACCACAAGGTTCACTAATCTAGCTAGTATGAATGTCATTACCACGTAAACCACTGAGGACCTTGCATTGAGCAACATCCCTGCTAAAAGCAGAGGGAGGGTGTTCGAACTTGCGTCTGTGGAGCTAACGAGCTTGTCGATTGGTTCAAGGGATCAGATTCCTGCATGAGCCCTGTCCTCTCCATGGCAGTCTAATGAAGAGGGACCTGTCCCACGCAGGGACGACCCATTGTGTTGCAGCCTGATGGATGGATGGACTCTTGAGCGTGCAGATAAATGACGCCGCAAACTGTGCAGGGTCCTCTAGATCCACCCTATAGAGCGTGCACGTTTGAGTGAGGGCCGGAGATAGAAAGAAAGCAAGTAGAAGATGAAGAGTGTGCGAGTAACAAAAGTGAATATATGTGCACGAATGAAAACTGAGAAATGAGAGGGAGTCATGTCCAAGTCAAGAGCTGATGTTAAGGCCACAGCTCTGTATGTGTGTGTGTGTGTGTGGCATCTCCTATCTCACGCTGTGTGTTCAGTGCCGAGTGGTGGGGTATTACAGGTCAGAGGGGGGGGGGGGGCAATAAGTGGTCGACATCTGAGACGCTGTGAAGGTCCGCTGGAGTTCTGCACCGAGGAGCGGGGTAGACAAGGACATAGATATCTTGGACAGGGAGGTTGATACTTTAAGCAAGTTGCTACACTTCTACCACCAGATGTGAATGAGAAAAAAAGTTGCTTTTAATGAATGAGACGAGCCCAATTCCATGCTGCCGTACAGGAATCTAGCTGCAGGAAGTCTCCACTTTCCTCTCTCTCTCTCTCTCTCTCTTCCTCCATTTCTCACCAGACAGTGAAAATATGTTTATGTGGTTTGAAATATGGAGAATCAAAGTGGCCATTATATTATTTATGTAACCGTTTACAGTTTTGGTGGTACGTGGGAGGCAGAAACAGCGGCCGGACAAGAACGTGTCCCGCTCTGGTATCAGACTCAAAACGTGTCAGAGATAAATCTTGCTTCAGGGCAGGGGACGAGTTGAATGACTTCAGAGACCTCTCTGCTCGAGACAACCTGTTATATTGCTGTCACTAACTGCCACAATGGAGATTTAGTTCGCTGAGTTCAAATTACACATCTTTGCTCCGGGGTTGTCCAGCGTAGCAGAGCAGAAACGTTTCTGCTCATATCTTTTGTACACTTTGCCTCCGTCCAAGTATGTGTTTGTCTGTGTGTGCTAAATGCAAGCACACGCATGTGTGTGACAGGCGATAGAGGAAAGGTGTCATTAGAGGAGAATGCAATGATTACACCCCGAAGCTGCACTGACACAGTTCAGATGTGTGTGTGTGTGTGTGTGTGTGTGTGTGTGTGTGTGTGTCTGTGTTACATGATGTACAATGAAAAAGTGAACGTCCACCTAATAAAGTCTGCGTTTTGTTTTTCTCTCTTTTGACAGGTGCAGAGTCGCTCAATAGAAACAGCTTCAGCTTCAGTGATGAGAGACTGAACTCCCCCACCACCAACTCACCTCCTCTTATGTCACCAAAACGTGAGCTGCGCCACAAAAATGAAAAAAAATTCATTCCTACTCTGGCAAGACTGTATAGACGCATGACTCAGCGAGATGTATTACAAAATATACCTATTTGCCGTCTCATAATGTGCGATTGAAGACGCTTAGTTTAAAGTGTGTGTCTCTTTCTTTCCCTTGCAGCCAAACTCGGCGACACTAAAGAACTGGAAGACTTCATCGCCGACCTTGACAGGACATTAGAGAGTAAGTGCTAATGCAGCCTAGCTGTCAGAACCCCTGATGAATTAGGCCGTGTGCCGGCGCCGCCCGCTGGTCGGGATTAACAGGAGCGTTTGTTCCCCGTGTCAGCTATGCTAACGACCACTCATAAAGTGACACGGGAGTCACTCCCCTTGGATTTCTAAGAAACAAGGATGTGTGAGGACCATGAAGGAGGCGGGGCGTGATATGTGGACCATGAGGCCTCTGGGGTTACACTGGAGGGAAAAGCAGCATGTCCCTTTTCACCTGTCAGTCAACTTTGAAAGAGAGTGCAGCAACCAACACCATGCAGTCCGTGCACACCACATTGCACTAACTTGGTCCCATCCTTTTATCCCAGAGCTGTGCGTGTGCACACGCATGACACTGTAACCAGAGAAGGCAATAGGGCGTTTAGTAGCTTACAGAAACATCACAGGTAGTAGCCGTACATGGCTAATCTGCGATAGACCTCTTCTTATATGAGTCTTGTGAGTGTTTGAACTTGCATCAGAGTATAAGGAATGTGCGCTGGTGCAAACCTGGACTGAAATTCCATCTGTAAATGTCTGGAATGGAATGAGACAGAAGTCGGAGTTGAAACGCTTTCCTTATGCCCGTGTTTCTTCCTCCAACAGCCCTGCTCTGTTCTGTGTTTTTAGGCCACTGAATGTCCGTCTTTCACAGCTCGCAGCCGTCCAGTCGCCCTGCAAAGCTGGACATACAAATCAGCCAGTCGGGCAGTCAGTCAGCCCCCCCGCCACCACCACCAGTTAGCCCCAGAGGATGGCGCGTTTATTAGGGCCACCAGTGTTTACGATGACCGGCCTGTAAAACAAAACGTCCGCCGCTCTGAGAATAGAGCTGGCAACCAAGGAGCCGTGGAGTCCTGTTCTAATCACGACTGTCTGTCTGTCTCTGTCTCTTCTTAGGCATGTGACGGGGAGGCTCACAGTCATCTTGGTGTGTAGCCATGAGGAAGGGAGGGAGTGGATGTCTGGACCCCCCCCCTGAGCAGCTAACATGCGTCCGGCCCCTACACAGAAAACCACCCAACAGGATACAGCTGGATGGCACGGCAACTTCCAAGTGGCTCCACCACGGCATCAGGTCTATCCAGCGCTCTGCTATAGTTAACCCAGCAGCGCTCTACTAACTCCAGGCCACCTGGCTTCTGGACCACAAGCCGGGTCAGAATTGCATTGTAGGGAACCTGAGGACAAGAATACTTCAGCAGCAATGACGTAATGCACTCCATGAAATGTTGTGAGGAGTGAGGACGTGGAATATATGCTGCAAAAAAAGAGTCACTGGAACATTTCTTGTCAGACCAGGTTACACTCCCTCATCCAAAACCTGAGCTGGAAGAGTATTTAAAAATGGCTTTTTATAAGAGAAATATATTAGTAATTTTATAGAGCTTCTTATTGTAAATTTATCAGTCTTTTTTTGGGGAAATATATTTTTATATCTTATGTAAATAATATTTGCTTTGAATTCTCTTTGCCACGCTATTAACAGGACAGTCAGATTAGGATTTGACACTCGTTGACTGGAATAAAGTTGGTTACATGCTTAAGTGTGAACTGAAAACTTAATCCCTTATGAAAAAAAAACTGGAAAGCAATATATATGTATTTAATACAGCTAATGCCTGCCCGATATGATATTAAAGAATGAAATATTGTTCTTTTAGTAAAAGCGCCTCCTTTCTTTATTTTGGACGGGAAACTTCTCTGGGCTTCTGTCGGGTTGTTTCAGTAATCTGAATGTAACATGCAGCTCTGTTTAGCTTTATAGCCTCTGTGTTTATTTGACTTTCTCTCTTAGTAGCCTTTACAACCTCTTCAATGTACGTTCTGCTACAGTATAGAATATCTCATCCAAAGTGAAATTCAATAACATACTTCACATTAAACTTTTATCCTTTTCCATGAAGTCCCTATATCTATTTTAAAATCACACAAGAAGGTATTGATTTCCTCCAGAGGCCGGGGAGCACAGTAGGTGTGGAGCTGCTGACTGGCTAGAATTGGAGCGGTAACGCAGCGGGGATCTTTGAATGACAGCTGGCTCATCACCGCCTCAGCACTTTATTAACCCTCCAGCACCACTTCCCCGGTGTGTCCTTCTCTGTGTATCAATGCTGATATCCCTCCGAAGCAGTGCTGTGAGCACAGGCAGGCAGACCAAATGGGATCTACATTAAACTGGTAAAAATAAAATTGTGGTATGTGGATGTAGTTATGTACTGTAGTCCACCAAAGAGAGACTCACCAAAACTGACTGCATGCTAAAGTGTAGGAAGAGGTGGGACATTCGCTGCGTCCCAAGAATGTAAAGTCATACATGCAACAAAACACACACAGAAACAGACATTTTACGTCTCTTACCTTCTGGGCTCATTAATCAACCACTCAACACAGCAGGGACTTAATATGTAACTTCTGTAGCAACAGGGTCTATTTCCAGAGGTGGAGGGAGACAGGAGGGTGCGACCCCTTCCCGGCCCAGCAGCAGGTGTGGCTGAAGTAATCTTGTGTCTGAGGCTCCCCTCCGTCTGCTGACCACCAGGGGTCAAAAGTCACCAACCATGGGCAGATATGCTTCTGGTAGCAGTGCAGCAGGTGCAGACAGACTTGGGGCCACAATCTCATGGGTACTACTCTGTTTCATGTACTTAAAGGAATACTCCAGCAATTTAGTAATACAGCTGCATAACGTTTGGGTACGTTCAAGAAACAGAATGTGTGCAATAGAGGCCAAGATATAGTGCTTCTATGGGTCAAGAAACCAAAAATTCTAGTTCCTACATTTCCCACAATGCAACTTAATGTTGTCTTTCTCCCTGCCTGGTAAATGCAGTCTTTCAAATCTCATGCTACAAGTTAGTAACGTAGGTTTTCTGTGATCAAATTTCACAGGGGTACGTTGAAGTCCGCCTGACGTAAATATCGTCATCAGAGGGCGAAGGCTCTGAACGGACGTCCGACCGCCAGTGTGAAATACTTCCTCCAAGCGCACGTTATAAACACAACCACTACGCATCCGTTCGTTTTGGAGTAAAACCGAGGCTCAAGATAATAGGTCCAAACAACACCTGCTCGCTCTGAAATCATCAGGGTCATTTTTATAGAACTTTAGAAGGCTCCTTCCAGAGCCACAAAAGACAACAGTTTTCACAGGCTTACTGTTACTTCTTATGAGCAGTAAACTGATGTGTAAAATCAAGTGGAGTGCCCCTTTAAAATTCTTCATCTTTAAAGTGGCTCTTTGTCCTCTCTTGGCCACCAACTGCATGTAAAGGAGGACATCATGCCCCTCCTTTCTTTCAGCCTTACTGATTGCATCTGAACTGATTTGTGCTGCGACCTTTGATTGTATTTCCTATGAAGTCTCATGTTCTGAAGTGAGGACCTCAGCCCAGAAGCTGGGTGTCTCTCACAGCTGTCCACAGTCAGTGGATCCAGCCAGCCTACTATCAGTGCATGCCAGACTGTTAATCTGATGGCAGGAAGCTGGCATGGAGACGGCCGTCTCCATGTTGTTTCTTCAGTACAGTTGGCAGAGGGAAGCTGTGGGCACTATCACTTATCTGCACTGTTCTGCACCATGGATCCACTGGCACTGATCTGAGAGACCATGTTGACACAACGATGTTCCCCCGAGGGCAGCGGGTGGGCTTCCCTTTCTTCTATAACAACCCCACACTTGGCAGAGGTTGGCATCTTTTTGGCAGCGTGGGTCGGTCCCGTAGAAGTGTTGGCTTTGGCGGTGGACAGCCCGTATATGCTCAGGGCTGGAAGTGTGGGAAAGTAGAGGACTCGAACTGGATAGAAGTTAAGAGAACACAGCGTGGAAAAGGGATTAGGAGCAATCGTATATGGAAAGCTAAGGCGAATGAAGGAATGGGCCGAGAAAGGCAAACGCACCCAAATCCTGCAGCCATGTGTCAGTCTTTACATCGAGACGGATTCCTATGGGAGGCCCCTCACGACTGCTGAGGTGGTCGTTCTATGAATAGGCTGGGCAGAGACACACAGATGTTTGTCCACATCACAAAGAGACATAAATACACAGAGCCAAATATCAGGTTCAGCTTTCCACCACGTCTTCACATCCCTGGTGTCCAGATGTCCCCGGTGCTGTGCAAACAGAGGGGGACATTAATGAGTGTGTGTGTATTGATATACAGTATATATATACAGTTTCTACTGTATGTATGCACATGTGTAAGTGTGTGTTGAGGCATAGAGATGGGTGTGTGTGTGTGTGTGTAGCTGTGTTAGTGTATGAGCTTGTCTGCACCTGTTCGCCATCTTTGTATGTGTGTACGTCTGTGTCCTTACCTTCCTGCTTTTATTATTTGCAATGTTGCCTCATAGAAGGAAGGTCCGAGGTTTAACTTTGCTCTTTCTGAGGCGTGTTTGCAGGCTCCATTCGTGCTCATGAGCCTTTCCTTTAGCCGTCTGATGTTTTTAACTGGTTGGAACCCTGACAGAAAGAAAAAAGATTATTTAAAGCACAGCAATCTAGAATTTGCCATGTACTAAATATTCGAGGGTTTATTAACGTCAGTTTGAAAGGCATTTCAAATTTTGTCATTTCAATAAGTCCCGATTTTAAAACTAGATTAAACCGGTCTGATGCTTTTAAAATAGTATGCTGAGTAAGTGCTTCACATGAACAGACAGCAGCCTGAACCGAGGGCCTCTGAACTCGTTCCCTGACAATGACAAGCTTTCATCATGATGACATGAGTCAAGACTCACTCACACGGGGTCTGACAGGCAGGTTTAGCTGTCATGGACGTGATTATTATTGCCTCCCCCTGACCTCATGCAGTCCCTTAAATTGCACATCCATCATGATCTCCATCATCACTATCAGATTGACTTATCTATGACCTGTCTGTGTGTCTGATTCTGCACTGCAGCAGCGGTATTGCCTTGACATATGATAATATATCTGTATATGTCTTAACATGTAGAAACAACAATGGAGGATCAAGTGGTTAATGTATGTTACTGCTAATGAAAGATCCCTACCTGTGTCTGTTTTTAATGGCATACTACTTATGACTAAAATTACTTTGGTACAAGCATAATACAATGTTGTCTCATCTCCCCCTTGAGAATTAGGACACGCTGTTCAAAGCAGGCAGAGGCCGTACACACACACAAGCACACACACACACACACACACACACACACACAAAAACACACACACACACAGTCCAGTGACTGTTGCCGCTGGGAAGTCTGAACAACGTGTGGGTGTGTTGGAGCTGACAGAGCAGGGAATTTACTGCTGAGGAAGCCCATGCAGCTGAACAGAAAGCTCAGTAGCAGGTGCTCGATGGTTTTCCTAAAGACGTATTCCTGCAGGGACAAACGCGACGCATGACTTTTTGGATTGTATTTGGTAACTGAGAAACAATGTAGAATGTGTGCACTGAAAAAAAAAAAGATTACAATTTCAAAACTGGAAAAAACATTTAACACAGGGTGTTATGACAACATAATTAAATCTGGATATATTTACCATTGGATTGAGCGGTCAAATTTGGGCGGTTGCGGTAGAATCAGCTATTAATTGTAGGGTTGATGGTTTGATCCGAGTCTCTATGTGTTGAGGTGTCCTTAAAGGTGCTCACTACAAAATTCAGAGCATTTCAATTGCCTCCACTCGGCTCTCAACATGGCGAAAGCTGAGCTGGCGGCTCGCAGCTGATGGTGCTAGCAGCGCTAACAGTGCAAACAACTGCAGCAGTGCTGACAGAGCTAACAGTGTCAGCCTGAGCACTACTTTGCGAAATGAAGGCAAACCTCCATGACATATGCCTATTACGTTTATTTTGCTATTCATTTTGGCTTTGTCTTATTACTCAAGTAGAGCAACGTTGCAGGTTTTCCATGTTGCTGTAGCAGATCAAGGCAGATGAGACATGAGATGGGAAGATGTTGGAAAGCGTGAGCGCTGTGAAGAGAGGCGCTGATATCACTGGGCTTTGAGCCTGCTGACGTCCCAGCCAATGGTTAGACACAGCTGTCTCCCTCTGCTACTCTTAACTCAGCCTGCACTTCCTCTGAGCTTGGCTGAGTCAAAGTGGACGCGTTTAATGCGAGGAGAAATTGGGACACTGGTGTCCCCTGGGTATTAAATGTTGGCATTTCTCCTTTATTTTACAGTCAACAGCTGTGAGGAACACATGAAGGAGAGAGAGAGAGAGAGAGAGAGAGGTGGACAGAGAGACAAAGTCCAATGTTTGAGCAAAGATAAAGAAAAATAAAAGAAGTTAAACATGTCTTTTGCATTAGGAGCAGCCTGAGCGTGAACAGTATAACCCTGCTATTGGATTTGGTGGATCAAAACCAGATCATCTTGATTCATGTGAATCATACAGGACGTCTACGTGGCCCAGTGACCAGTTCGCAGACAGACTCTGAGTCAGAGTGTATGGCCCCGAACTGATGAGTCACTGAGAACTGCACATATGATGGATGTGGTAACTTTGGTGACCGCATTCAATTTGTTAGTTAAGTTAGCAAACAACAAAATCTAGTGCATTTGAGACATAAAGTTCCCACAATTCTAAAGAGAAAGAAAATCATTGAAAAGGATTGAGGAAACAACAAACACACCAGGCTGATCCCAGATGGCTCTGTGCTGTCATGGTCCTCCCTCTTATTGTCAGACTG